TCGAAGGTTTGACCAATCTGAAATCTCAACAATCTCCAAAATGCTTGATATCTGCTTAGCGCCTTGGCCCCACAGAATCTCCCAGGCTTCTTTCAACCTACACGGCCTGTAGAAGGCCCACAAAGTGCCGTATTAGAGCACTTCGTCTCTGGAAAATGGCCGCCCGGGCATCACTTGCGGCCACCTGGGAGGCGAAGGCTTTTAGGTGGATAAAATCCAATCCATGACTCCATGATCGACTTCCAAAGATTATCTCCCATCCATCTGACAAGCCAACTGAAATTTGGTAACAAACACAGTGGTCATCTGAACGAACATGGGCGTGCAGGGAGTAGTTAAGTATGGATGGAGCAGTATGACACAGTACGATTGAACATTTTTAGCAGGCGAAGTCTTGCCTTTGTTCCACAAGGCAAAAGCAGCCAAGTCCCCTACGCATTTCATTGATCTTGTCCTGCAACACAGCAAAGGACCAAAGACTTATCTGCAGAACTAGATAATTAGAGGAGCTTCTCGCCAGTCTTCTTTAGCACATGTCTAAGTTTACAACAACTTTTTGCACTGCGCCCTTGATGCTGAAACCAACGACTATCAGTTAGCCGCCAGAAACCAGAAATGAGCAGGCCTCACATGAAGGGCAATCAAAACCTTGTGGTTGGCGGTTATAGGCATCGGTGTGTTTGTGTGTTGGAAACACACTCAAGTCTGGTTCGATGAGACAGACCCTTGCAATGTCTGGCCCACCGGGAGCATCTCCTGCGCTGCCTGCACATAAGGCCTAAGCAGATCGCTTGATGCCACCGGCAAAACGACCTACCCAGACAAGATCCAGCATGTGAACATGATACCATCACCATGACCATACCAGAACCCTGATTTCAAAAGGACACAAATAAACAATTGGGAGGTCCTATTACAGTAAGCGTCGTTCACTGTCTTCTTTTTCAGATCAGTTCAATTTGGTGTCCCAATTCTTGATTCAATTGGAACTCATCCAATTCTTTAAGACGCCCACATCTCCACCTTTCGCAGGCCTGAAGTTTCCACATCAAAACCAAAGACTTCACCGTTGCCCAAACCCTGCGACCACCCGGCTGCCATCGGCTGCCCGGCTGAGCAGTTTGAGACACTTTCTGTGAGAGCTGTTTGGCGGCCTGGCGGCCGTCCGGCGCGCAACCGGTGCACAACCGTCCTACTATTGATGTAAAATGCTGGGGTGGGACGCCTTCATCTGAGGCCTCAAGCAAAAACTATATATACATACATTCCATTCCATTGCATTATATCCATACATCCATCCACCCATCCATCCATCCATCCATCCATCAATCTATCCATGCATCCATCCATCCATCCATCCATGCATGCACACGTACATGCGTACAATTCCATTCCATTCCGTTCCATTCCATTCCATTCCACCCCACTCCACTCCACTATATGCTACACTACACGACATTACACTACATACATCCGTACATGCATATATGTACATACGCCAATTTGTATGCATGCCTGTAAGAATGTAACATACTCTAATTGTATGTATGTATGCATACATGTATCTATGTATCTATGTTTCTATGTATCCAGATTGTTTACTTAAACAGCAGCCCGAAATGCCTCATGCAGTTTCTTTACAATGTACTTTGCGTGGCTATGCAACGTATTTATCATCGCTTTGGCAAAGAGCCCCAGTGAAATTTCGACTTCAAAACTGCTCTGTTTATTCCATGGGTTCATGGCCTTTCACTGCATCAATCACCATCTCTGATTCGTCGCGCAGGGTTTGGATTTACGTCCAGAGATCGGTATTGCGATCGGGCATCGCTCCAGGCGCAGCTAACAGCTAACAGATCTTGACATGCATCTCAAGGGGGCGTTCGGGGGGGGGGGGGAAGCTGGTTGTATCCGCGTGTGAAACTCTGGTGGAAGTCTAAAACACCATCGTAGGCCTGGGCAATTGACAGACGATTTTCTTTTCGAGATTGGAGTGCGTTTTTGAGCTCAGCGTTGGATTTCACTGCGCTCTACACACAGTCGTGGGGAGAAGCCATCGAGTGACACAAAGCTGACTGTCTCAAGTGAACTTAGGGAGTATCTATAGTCTATATATATACACATACAAATATACAGTTGTGGATAGCACAGCCGCAATCATTTGTTTGACCGCACACGACAGAGTCCTCTGGCCCAACTCGATCCGTGACATTCCACAGAACTCGGTACACTTCTCGATACGTGGTTTCGACGAAGCGAGTTCCCGATTCACAACAGTATAAAGATTGTAAATGCATATGCATATATATATATATGGGTGTTGATCCAAATAAAGGTATCTGAGGCAGCTACAATCGCCGATCAACCGCGAATCAATCGCGAACCCAACGGTGTCAATCGCGGGAGAGTGCTCTCGTATGCAACACTATGTTGCGCAGAGAATCGTCGAAACATTGCTACATATCACAGTATTTAGAGACATGGCGTGAGCCACAGGGCCTACTCCGGCGGGTTTAACAATCGCGGCACAATCGCGGATCAATCGCGAACCAATCGCGGATTTCGTCGACATGTTTTTGAGAATTGAATTGATCTGGGCTGGTAGACTTTGAACTTTGTTGTTCTGATTCTTTCTTTGCTATTGGCTATCACTATTCAACACAGTGTCTAGGCAGACCCGAATACAGTGTAAGGCTGAACTGTAACATGATGATCATGCCATATAATATTGATTTCTCCTCTTAAAATGGTCGATTCTGATACTACAAATGTTTGTCTCAATCGCGAACCAATCGCCGATCAACCGCGATGCAGAGCTTTACAATCGCAGATGCTGAGATACACATGCCCTGTCATAATTCTTAGATTTGCATTTACGATCGGCTCCCATATATATATATATATATACATGTCAATCACTGGGATAGAAGCAACACGTTCCAAACACAAGAAACAAACCTCCAGGAAGCACTAAAGTCCAACTTCAAACCCGAAAGGTACATATACTCGGAGTCGTTTCAACTGGCATGAGCGCTCATGACCGGGCCCCAGCTCAAAATGTATATTGCAAAAAGCTAACCAAAGCAATTAATAGTATTGGCCTCCAACCCAGTAGCGTATATTATAACAAGACACAGGATGTGAAAAATCAAAGAAACTCTGGCACTTCCGCGTCCCCAATCTGGTGGGCGAGGCCGGGGTCCCATGATCCACGATCAGTTTCCTGCGCGAAGGAAGTCCTACCTGCAACTATTGGTTTTTGGTCCAACTTATTGGAAGCGATGGCCTCCAACCTACAGTAATAGCGATGGAGCCTATTAACAAAGATTCTTTGTAGTGGCTTGATTCATCACATTCTAAAACCCCACCCACGTTAGTCTTCAGTTTCCTTCACCTCTCAAGCATGCGCTCACACGTGAGAAAGATCTAAACCCTGCAGAATGCAGTCCATCTGCTGCACTCCTTTGGGACATCAGTCAGTTTTTCGCCATGCCATGCCCCTGAAAAACCCAAAAACAGCTTTGCGAAGTGAGACGTCTGAGACCCACCCGACTCCGACTCGGTGGCTGGTCTCCCGGTATCCCCCAGGCAGGGGCGGAGGCTCTCGGCGTTGTAGGCGCCGATGCCTGACAGAGTTCTGAGTCCGAAACGATCCGAAATGGATGGAGGAGTCTGAGTGGGTCCCAAAAATACAAGGTGAAATGGAGATGAGCAAGGAACAGCAATGGCCTCCAACCTAGTAGCAATGGCCTCCCACCTAACAGAAATCAAAGGAATAAAGACTTGAGCTGGATTGGGAATGGCAGTGCCATCCAATTGTCTTTCTTGCTGCCCTCGACCAATTATCATGAAGGAGATAGGAATTAGCCTTGCGTTAGGACTGTCAACGAAAGAAAGTGCCAGGATACCTGTGCCCACCAAGAAGTAGAATATCGCGCTCAGCATGATTGATGAACAGCCTTGGTCAGTTGAACGACAAAGAGATCGCTGACTTGTTTTCCAGCTGGTTAGGTGCCATGCAGTGAGGTATCCGTGCTCACATCTGTTTATTGTCCAAAGAAGCATCCAAACTTCAGTCACAAGCCAACTTGATCACCCCATTCGAAGATACTGCAACATGAGGGACCTCAAATTTCGAACTTAACCTACTCAACCAAACTACCATTGTAGCAAAATGTATATAGCAAGCGTTGAAAGCTCTCTCCGAGGTGACCACGTAGGTCGCCAGGAAGAGGGATGCCGCAGGATGGACACTTGAGCAAAAGGGGACGAGTTTCATGACGAACACATCTAAATAACTAAATGATATTAAATGTATAGAAAAACTGCTTGTTTGCAGGGGGGAGGCCGCTACACAAAGAGGTATAGGCTACTAATTAGCTCCACTAGGTACTGGACGCTACTAGCTACTGGCCGCACTAATCAACTGGTTCCTAGATTCTTAGGAAAACGACTTGGTTTTTAGAAGTTTAGACCTTTGCTGAAGGACTGTAAGTTAGCCTTGCGGCTCCTATTACAAGGTTGTTTGCCATTCACGAAGAATCTTGTCCCTGCACAGGCATCATCTCCAATGTGAGTTGCACATTGGGCCTCATTCAAAAAAGTGCACGGAAAGGCCTCGTCAAGAGACCCCTAACTGGATAGTTAAACACTCTCTGGTCGTTATCCTGTGGACCCTCTCCACACCTTCTTTTTCAGAAGTCTCTTCTCTCTGTGCGGTTTTTCTCGCCCGCCTTTTTCGACGTCTCTCGGACGACGTTGTCCAGACTGTACAGTGGACAGGATCTATGACGGCATGACACGTTTGCACCTGAGACGGCCCTCCTCAGCACGTGCGAGGAAACTCGATGCACGCATGTTGTAGAAACTGGAGATGGTCAATAAATATGCACCAAATGTCCCAGAAGTTCAGGCTCACAAAATGAAATCAAATCATAACTGTCTGACGAAGGACATAGTTAGGCCCCCGACATTTGCGCTGGCACGTCTCGACCAAGGTGTCAGTCGAACAGCGCCATCAAGCGATTGGTGGTTAAGCCTCGGTGTGGTGGAGTAGGCTTTTGCTCTTAATTATTAATAGCTTCTTGTTACTACTAGTAAGGCACTTGTTACTACTAGCGTGGCACTTGTTACTACTAGTAGGTTTACGCAACGGAGTTTTGCCTCTCAGCTTGTTTGAGGATGTTTGAGGCCGCCTGAGGCACCTGTTTACCACCTCCCGACTCCCGACACCCTGGTTACCCCTTCTGGAACCTCAAAGGCCACTGGAGTGACTCAAATCTGGAAGTTTTACCATCGAGCCGCAGTGTTGAAACTGCTCAGTGGCTTCGAGGACACCCATTGTAAATATTGTAAGGTGTCACAAGTGAAACGTCATAAGTAAAGCAATAACGAAGGTGATACCGGGTGGCGTGCTGTACACAATCAGGCCAAAACATAGTACGCGTGCTATGATGAAGGATCTCGGTATTGCGGACCCAGATAGGCCCAGCAACCCCCATTCCTCCAGAAATACACAGGTCGTGCCACCCACCTGCACACATCCGTGAGATCCCATGGCAGAACATCGCAGAACTAAGAATGAGGAAATATAGCTCAAACCCTTGGTTTTTAGACCGTCTTGAGGGACACAAGTCACAGCTTACTTGGCATCCCCTAGAATTGAGTCAATTGGACCTTCATGTGCATACCCATAATTTGGACAATTGATTTAAGTGGCAAATCGTGGCTCAGACCGACCCTCGTTGAGCATGTCACATATCTTGACCTCAAAGACTTCCCACTGTCAACTTTCTGTAGCGCAACCCTCCATGGCATCCAGGCTCTCGTCCTCTGCACAATACTCTGGCTCTGGGGGTGGCCTCGGCACTCACAGCGGGACCAAGATCATCGGCTTGGGCCAAGTCGGTCACCTACCCTCCACGGGACTCCACAGGGACTTCACGGGCCAAGGAGATCAAGAAATTGGTGACCATTTGGAAGGAAATCTCACGAAATCGGATTTGTCCTACCTCTTTGCTTGGCATTCTAGGCCACCTACAGGCACCGGATGACTGTGCATTACAACGCATGTGCCTTCAGCTGCTCGGCACGTTGAGACAAGCTTCCGCAAGTCGTCATGCAAAGAACTCTGTAGAGGCAACTGGATTGCATGAACCGTGATGTCCCCATGGACACAACCACCACATCTGTGCCTCTGTGTACCTCATCAAATCTTGTTAATCTACAGCCCTTCATTAACGGAAGCATGAACACATTCACATTCACATGCCCTAAATCTGTTATCTTGCTGCAAAACTCAAACATAAGTCAGAAGTCTTCTTCACCATAAGTTCAGCTATTTTGCAAACGCTCTTGGATGCTAGAACATGCTAGAACTCAGTCGTCGAACATATAGGTCCGCCAGGCGTCACAACAAACTGGCAGTCAAGTGGCATTCCGCCCAAGTCGGCCATGTCATCCTCCTCCTGGGATTCACAGTGGCCATGTCAGACCCTTCAAAGACAGGACTGAAATGAAATGATTGTATGTGCATGCATGTGCTGCGAGGTCAAACAACCTCCCCTCATCTTCTCAATGCACTGGATACAAAAGAGCCACCAAGTGGTGGTGTGCGATAGTTTGACTGTGAGGTGCAAGGTTGGTTGGCCTAGGCTGTCCCTTCTGAAAGTTGAAACTCGCAAACAGCTTCGACAACGAGCCTGTTGTTAATTTGGGGGCAACTATGCGAGGTGTTCCTCTACAATTCGGAATTTTGGCTACAAGTTTCTTAAGTCACCCCCCCACTTTTCGGTACGGCAAAGCACCTCCGGCATGGCAGGATCTGGTTCAGGCTCGTCACCTTCATTCGACCACACAAAGCTTGACTCACCCGATTCTCAAGCTTTCAGAGGTAAGTGACCTGCATCCACGTCACAAAACTATTTAATTTGCATTGGCTTGCCACAAACAACGCTCTGACTCTGGGCAATGTCGTCAGAGATTCGCCAGAATCCTGCTGCATAGTGCAATGTGATAACATCGCAGCCCAACTTCTGCTATGTGATAACCTCTCTGACGGAGTCCCATCGTCATGTCCTCATGATTTGTTTTAAGGACACTATTGGGTTGGGAGGCCATCGCTATTGTTTTGATATCCACATGAATTACAGTATAGCAGATCAACGCGGACGCCTGGTTGTGGAGATGGCGGCGGCTTGTAGTGCTTCGAGGTGTCAATCCTAGGACAGCGGGCGAGGAAAGCGGTTTCAAACATCCAAGGAAATACCACCCTCTGAGGTTCAAATGAGCCGTCCAAAAGGGTACTTGTCCGAAAGATCTTGTGAAATGACTGAGTGCCCACGCTTCCCATGCAGGCGCTCAAAGGTCTCCTATATGCTCATGGGCTGATCCAAGCAATGTGTTCATCCACAAGCGAAAGGAACTTGGGATTTCAAGAAAAATATGAAAACATTGACATCTCCTTTGTGAGGCGCTTGGCGTTCACCGTCAAGGCCTGACCCCACCATTCAGGTTGGTCTGAAGATGTCTGAAGTGAAACAAAAGCCTGACGAAAAAACCGTGTTGTCAGGGCTTTCAGGGAGGGGGCTAGCTTCAGGCTGAGACCGTCTGAGACCGTCTGAGGTCTGGGTATATCCGTTCATTCAATGTCAGCAGCTTATGGTTGTCTGCTGCTTTGAAGAAACTGGACAACGTTTTATCAGTGCTGTTCGAGATCAAATGAGTCCTGGTATCATCCCAGTCAGACCCAGGCTATGACCATACCGGTGCACGCAAAAGCGTCCGAGAGCACCATGTTTGAGCAAGTCATCCAAGAAACACCATCTAATGTTCACTAGGTTCCAAAACACGCTAGCGAATCTCATACTCTGCTCGGCCTCCTCCACTAAATGTGGATTCCTCTTCATCTCCTTCTGGTATTTCGTCTTGATCTGGCCCTGGGGCACGGATTAACATCCAAAAGAGTGCTGGGATTCATGTCTTTTGGGAGAACTGATTCAGGAGATTCAGGAGGCCACTTTTTTATGTCCGATCCACTCCTTGGTCATGGCAGTCATCGCTGGTTTTGATTGGTTTGGGTGGTTGCTAACACAGTCCACCTCTACGGCCTCTGAAGCATACACACTAGGAGCCGTTGTAGCCCATTGAACATTTTGGATGCTGAGTGTAGCGTGTAAAGTGTGTTGGAACCTGCAGCGACAGTGAAACAATGATCTCGCTGATACTGTGCTTAGTGCAACTTTTGGTTCCTAAACTGTTTAAACCCTGCAGAAAAAACACATTGATCCTCTTAGCATCCGCAATCTAGAAAATTCGAAGGCCTCCACAACTCGCTGGGAGTATCTTCCAATCTTTCAGCAAAATCTGGGCAAATGCTGAGAGCCCTGGCAGCACTCTTGTTCCGGAAGAAGGTCTGCACCTTGTTTTGACTGGCATGTTTGTTATGTGGGTCTTCAGTTTCCATGAGTCATAGCGAGGCCTTCTGCACAGAACTTTAGCATTCAAACAGGTGGCCAAAAGTTGTTTATGACATCTGTGAGATCAAATAAGAACATCTGTTTTCATTCGCCGCTGGAAGGCCACCCCGCTAGAAAGAGGTCTGTGCCATACAAGGAGAGTGCCTAGCACCAGGACCGCGAAACCGAACAGTCCTTATGTGTCCTTATTGGTCCGTCAACAGTGGAGAACTTCGAAAGCCAGGAACGTGATCGTGAAGTGTGCTGAAGAGGTCCTGATTCTGATGGGCCAGCTGATGGACCTCTGCCTGATGGTTTCAGCTGACACGGGTAGATACACATTCTCCGAAGTCAACTTCTGGCGGCAAGCCGTATCAATGTGAACAGCCTTTTCCAAGCGGGGTGTCTAGCCAAACAAATCCTTGGTGGTCGCTTTAAATCGAAGTTTTGAGACGCACATATATACACCACCAGTGTCTTGAATCTTGAAACAAGGCAGTAATTATATACAAAGGTATCAATGGTATCAAGCAGTTGCAAATGGCCCAACAAAGGTTGAGCGATTCAATCAGAGAGCTTGCCAATCCGGTGTAGTTGAAAAGTAAGTTCAGCTTGAGTTTCAGCTTTGAGTTTCACTAAGGCACGTAAGGTTTAGTTCTGACTTTCTCTTTACTCCTGAAAACAGTTGTGGAAGACCCAACAAGTGGCTGAAAGCCGTGAGTCAATCTATTGTGGTAGATTCGGAATGTCAGGTGGTCATTACATATAGATATATACGGGTATACAGAAAAGGTGAGTACAAATATATGTTACTGCGAAAGCGGTCCTTTTCTCAAGCCTGCATACGACCTGCGGTGCACAGTGGTGAGACATGAGTCTGTTTCAAAATCTTACGTACTCGTGGCGGAATTAATCCTGCTCTTTCTCTTTTCTCACTTGCTTCAATCAGTGATAAAAATCACAACTTTCTGCAATTCTTCGTAGAGTTTTCGCAGCTCACTCTGTCACCAACTCTTGTTGTAGAACTCGATACTGTCTTCAAGTTTCAACAACTCTTCTCTTGCCTGCAACGACACTCTCGCCCTCAATGTGTCTATTTTCTCATCAACATCTACTGGTCTCTCTGTTGCTTCTCCTTCTCCAGTTGCTCTCTTTGCTGCGGCATCTGTCATATCAATGTCATGGTCTGGACGTTCTGGTCCTTCAATTTCCACTGGTGGCTCGAATGTTGGAGGAGCTGTGAGCTGCCTCTCATCCATTACAATGGTACTGCGCTCGAATATTCCATTGGAAGTTCAATTCAACTTCTCTTCCATCAGCCAGTAGAACTGCGGCTGTCACGCCACTCAAATTCTCTTCATCTTCTTCTTCTCCTCTCGAGCTTGATGCCCCTGCGCCATCTCCTCTCGTCAAAGGCGGCGGAGTATCAGCTCTGTTTCGTCTCCTCCTTTCTTCTGCGCGATCGACTCCCCATCTCCTCACATTAGCTTCATGTATCATGAGTCTTTCTGCCATCCTTGCTTGTCCACATTTTTGATTGCCCTTCTCGAGAGACTTCATGCGTCTATATATCTTCCTCTGATATCAACTTCTTCTCGTTCCACATAGCCATTCTGTTTCACTATGGCTCTGTCCTTTACTGAACTCAATCCTAAGATCTGAAATTCAAAGCAAGCTCATTTCCTTCCTTCTTGTACTGCTTCCAGATCAGGAACACGCCACATAGAACCACTGCCATTGCAAAAAGGATGTTCTCCTCCTGCAATGTCACTTCAGTTCTTTCCGCCTGCGCCACTGACCCAAGGCCGGTTGCATTTCTTTCTCCTCAACTTCCTGTCTTTCCTTCTCTGCGACTCTGTTGCCATCTCCATCAAGCGCGGTTTGACAACACATCCGTTCACCACATGTACAGATGAAGATGTAGACTTCCCGTGTCCTTTGCGTCCTCTCCAATCTGCATCAGTGAACGTCTCTAGCAACCATTTCTGAGTTGATAGTACGCGCATACCACGACCTCTTGTTGGAAATGAAATCTTCACACGCTGACCTTCTTTTGACTTAAGGTAGCCAACCAGCTTCTTCATTCTGCTCTTGCTCGTTGCTGTTGGCTTCGACATAGAGCACCCAAGTTCTTTGGTCGCGAAGCTCAAAACCAACCTTTCCTGTGACAAGTAAACGCAACCGCCTACCAAAGATCGGTATAGCGCTACTTCGTCTGAACTCAAGTCTTCAGATCCATCTGCCTGTTGAATCTCTGGTCCCTGGTCCTGAAGGCGCTTTCTGCTTCCTAGCTTGACCATAGAAACCCTCAAAGTTCTCGATCATGTCACTGGCATATCGTCCTGGCATGATGTATAAGCCGTCATCCCCAACGTGCGCTTATAAGGAATTGGAACTCATCTCCTGGTGATTTCATCTCGCTCGCTGAAATCGAACTTCTCTCTCAACTGTTCGATGAAGTGTTGAGCTGCCTCCTCCTGTCCACAATACACGGTGTCGTCGGCATGAATCAGCACAAAGACTTGATCTGCGCTCTCCCTGCAGAATTCACAAATCCAATACTCTCTAGAAACTCAACTAAACGGTTGAACCATGCCTGAGCTCCTTGTCATTGCTTTATTTTTCGAAACCTTCCTAGGTTTGTCGTCACCTGTAATTCTTTCTTCTGATCCACTTGTTGGAACGCATCTGTGATATCTAAGCTTCCTCTGTCTAATCCTCTGTCCATTAGAAACATCACTGGAAGTGCATGGGTGCTCGAAGTAAGCAAATGTATATCATCCCTTTTGGTGTTGGCAAACTCTCTTGCCACAAGGCATCCTCTTCGAAGCCACTGATTCTGCTCTTTACCGCGCTTGAAAATCTCCTCGTTTTGATCAGTCGACACTGGATCTTCTCCAAGCGCTCTTGAATCACCTGAATCCGCAAAGAGCTTGACGACCTTTCTTCTATTCTGCGCCTCTTGGAGCTGGCTCTGACATGACTGCACCTTCAGGCGCCGGTGTCTTTTTCGAAGCTTTCTCCCTGGAAGATCCTCGAAGAGCACATTTCTAACCTTTCCACAGGCTTGTCTTCTGCTGCAATTTCTGGTGTTCTTGGTTGCCCCGGTTGCGGTTCAGCGTGGACAGGAGCTGCTGGCGCTGGTGCTCCTGGATCAATGAGAAGTTCTCTACCAAATTCTTCTGCAACTTCCTGAATTTCTTTCATAGTTTCTCCACTTCTTCCGCATCGATGTCACGATATCCGCGCGTAAAGGCCTCCAAAGGTGGCATTGGTCAATTTCTCAGTGCTTGGGCTCCAACTGCCCTCTGTTTGTAGGCGCTATGTGTCCTCCAAGGTTCGTCTGGAATTCCCACGACGCTGAGGAAAATCCAATGTAGTAAGCAAGAAATCTGGTCCATGGTCCATCTCGCGCTTTGTGTAAGCATGATCCTTTCACCATCTGACACTATCCAAGAATCTTGTCCATCGGTTTTGCCCAAGAAGATAGTTCTTTTCCACTTTGGATCTCCTTCAGTAGGCGGATTTAGAGCTTGTGACCTCACATAGGCGTAGACTGGTAAGGAACGATGCTTGAGCCAATTCCAAAGCTGTCACTCCACGATAGGCTTGATATCTGTTCATGACATGACCAGAATGGGTGATTGCCATTCAGCCTCGCTTGAATTCTTGACACCTATCACGAATACGGGAGGTGAGAATTCTTATCTCAATCCAAGCGCATGTCGTCTCCATAGAAAGCTCCTTCGCGGTGACCGAGGTGTTGACAAAACGTCATGACTTCCTTAGCTGCAAAGTTGATTTGAGCTCTACTCTGCTGTCAATGGAGTTGCCGCTACACTTCCTGTTTGTGACATGTCACGATCATCCACATTGCTGACTTTACTTCCTTCAATCCTCTTTTCCACCACGTTCGCCTTTCTCTTCTGCTTCCTCTCCTTCTTCTTCTTCTTTTAGCTGGTACAGTGGCTTGTCTTCGCGCTTCTCATGACGTTTCTTTCCTTGCATTGGCAGCTACCTCTGCAGCTGCCTATTCTCTGCAGCTGCAAACGCCCAAAAAACTTGCAAGCTGCTCGAAGTTCGCGAAGTGGAATATTAAATGTCAAAGTGATGCCATTCGCCTCAGCTTTGTCCGGGCTGCCCAGGACCAATTTACCCTCTTGAATTCCAGGGTCTTGCTCATACATCTGACAACGTTCCATCTCCCCCTTTGCCTGTTCTTCTTCGCGCTCTGCAGCTGGAATTCCGAAGATCTTCTGGTCTCACTCACCTGCTGACAAAATCGTCAACACTAAGGCTCTCTCCTTCAAGCCTTCCACTTCCTCTTCTTGCTCCATCATCAGGTTCAGAGGCATTGCCATCTGAACCAACTTCCACTTGGCGTGTTCCTTGACGAAGGTATAGTTCTGTCCCAGGCCATCTCTTGATCAATACCACTCACCCCAAAAGGCGTCTGATGATTATAGTGGATAGGTGAATCCCAGTCCACTTACTTCCATACTTCTTCCATCCTGCCTGTGACTTCACTATCTCCTCAAGCTCGTTTCCAAGCTTGACTTCCACTGCATCTAGGCCTTTCGCGAAACATGGTAACGCTTCCACTTTGCGAATCTTTGCCTGCGCAATCAGGCTCTTACGCTGCACCCCCAAGGGAATCTTGACCTGTGGCCCAAAGCAAAGAGTCTTCTCCTGGCCATCTATCCCCATCCAGCTTCTAACAATCTCCCGAACGACTAAATAGGTTGCCAAACTTCGTCAGGAAAGTCGGCCCTCTCATTCACTTGTACTTCACGGCCTTCTTCTGTTTGCATGATGAAGCACACATCTTCAATCCTTTCACTTAAATTTCGCGTCTTGAGCGTCATGAAGGTGAGCACGCCGCTTGGTCATCTGCACTAGAATCTGGCCTGCCCTGGCCACGCCACTGTCTTCATCTAACTCTCTCAAATCAACCACGAAAGCATCCAGCGAGGTTGTGAAACACTCTCCAAAGAGGTTTGGAAACTCTCTTGACGCTGGCTCTCTTGGTAGACAAAGCTGTTGCAGCACTGGCGTCATCCTGTACTGCATTGCTGGTTCTACCCCAGTTGACGATGCGGAGGACTGTGGATTCTTAGCTACCTGTCGAACTCTCTGGCATTTTTTCCCACATGGCCCGGCTTGCCACACGCGTAACATACTTTGCCTTTGCCTTTGTCATCTTTCCAGGAAGATTGCTTCTCCCTTTTCCTTTGCCCCAGCCTTCTTTGTTCCCATAGCCCTTTTTACCTCCATCTCCTTTGCCTTTGCCTCCTTTGTTGTCCTTTCCTTTACCTTTTGACTTACCGTCTCTCGTCTTTCCCTTGCCTTTCTTTCCTTTGCCCTGAACTCGCTCTATGTCCATGGGCGCCAAACCTTTGTCATCCGAAGTCAACATCATAGCTTGGCTCCATTTCAATGTTGCTTTGCCATACCTCTCAAAGTGACGTAGCTTGTGGATTCTGAAACCTGCAGCTGTAGCCACGTTTGAATATTCCCTGAAAGACATGTCATCAACGCAGCAAATTTGATCTCTTCAGCCAACGTCGCTCCAGTCTTCTCACACTCTCGAAAAGCATCGTCTAATTTAACCAGTTGCGACATCATATTCTTCTGCATGTCAAATGAAGACCAGCCGAGGATGGCATTAGTATGCCGAGGGATCTATTCCGGCTCGCCGACTCCAAGGAACTCAAAAGTTGCCTGCAGGCTTCGAATCCATTGCTTTCTGCAACTGGTCTCAATAACAGCAAGGGTCGATTCTTCAATAGTCCCGCCAAAAGGCTATACAGGAATGAACTGCGGCTTTTCTCCGTGTCTCCCATCAAACAGCTGTCAACTTCTGTCGATGGATTCTTTCTCAAAGAAATCAAAGTCTGCCAGGTACTCGATGTCAAAGGATGCTATGCTAAGTGTTGTTCCAATGACCATGCAAAATCACGCTGCGTCGACAACTCTTCCTCCCGACTCTTAGGGTCAAATACTCCAGGCTTGGGCAATGTTTGTACCAACTCTTTTTATCATGTCTTTGGCTCTTTAGCTCTTCCAAAGCTTGAGCTGCTACTGTGGCTGGTGTGGGCGCAGCTTCCGTCGCCAACATCATTCTCCTCGCCAATTCTGATCCATCTATTTGCTGGCCCACGGCTCCACTAGGGCTTCCGGCTGGGCTCATCACCGGGGAACCCTCCGCACCAGCCATGGCATCGAAATGAGCCTCACCCTTGCGAAATCCTTGGCTGCGTAATAGGCGAAAGCGGACCTTTTCTCGAACCTGAATATGACCTGCGGTGCACAGTGGTGAGACATGAGTCTGTTTCAAACTCTTACGTAGTTATATAAAGGTGTTGATGAGAACAAAGCCTTTGTCAAAGAGTTCCCCAAAGGCCCTTCCGAGCGACCGCCGCAGCGGACATGTGGCCTCGTAGAAGAGCTCGGTCTCACTCGAGGTCCACTTGCAGCTGGGCCTTGGAGCATTTGAGCCAGTTTGAGCCCAACTTCGGTGACAGGCCCACTGCTATGCGGCTGGAGGCCATCCATCGCTATTAGAGTGGAGGCCATCGCTACTAGGTTGGAGGCCATCGCTATTAGGGGGGATGGTCCGATGGACGAAATCCGGCACTGGGATACGGGAACCCACCATATTCAGCACGGGAGATCTGCCAACACTAGGAATGTTCAAAATATGGGTGCCGAGCACGAGCACGTGAAGGAGATCTTCTTAAACCAACACGCTAACCTGGTAGTGATCGCCACAAAACATCAGCCTCTCGCTTTGCAAATCTGGGTCACTGGCGTTTTCTTGAAAGCACCTGCGTACTGACCTCAGCATTCAAGCCTCCCTGGAGCTGGTGCACCTACTTCGCTCATGGTGCGAACTGATCTTTTTTGAGGTTTGTAATGTCGCTCTTTTTTTGAGTGTGCGATGATGTGAAGTGGTTCTAGTGTGCAACTACCAGAATTGCTTGTCAACATTCAGACGTATCAGACTTGAGGCTTCTGCAGCGCATTCGATTGACAATAGCAGCGAAGACTGTCGCTTGCCAGATGGCCAGATGGTGAATGAATGAATGAAATGCTATGCCACGCCATGATCTGCCACCTGCCTTTTTGCATCCACTTAACCCCTTCAAGCATAAACCCTCCATTTGAGATCCAAGCTTACAGCCTCTTGCACTGTGGCAGAGGCCTGCAGTCCCAGACATGGCCAATGGAGCGAACGGAATGGCTGGAATTCAATAAGGGGTTATTCGCAGGTCGCTAGGTTTTGTGGCAGGTGTGCAGCTCGACATGATGCAGTTCATTCAGTTGGGGAAGGCCACTGGGGTTGAGTCGCCTTGGCCCTCATCAAGAGGGATACCTACATTTATATGCAAAAAGCAAGCCAAGCTTGACATAGCCACCACACCAAACCAAGGATAGCAGCCATAACTAGCAGCTATGAAGCAAGCTCTAGTGGCAACGAAACATAATATATACATGTCTACACCACCAACAGTAATTCGAGCAGTGACCATCCAACCCACCCATAAATGTGGAGGACGTCCATCGCACACCTTCTGACAAAGCGCACCCCGAAGCAACTTACTTGAGGAATCGTTTGTCTGAGCCTGACTCCGCCAGACCAGGCCAGACGAGGCTATAGAAACCTATAAAATCTATGACCTGTCAAGATGCCGAACGCTGGGTGTCCGCGGGGCTGCCTCCTCGAAAGGTCCTTGCGCGTTGACATTCTGCGAAAGGCTGGACTGGTTCAACACGATGTTGCCAGACTGCCACGTCGGAGTCGCTCCCAGGATGAAAGTTGAGGTGGAATTCATGATGTGTTTTCCTACCTCCGATACTGAATCAAATGTATCATATATCATATAGTCAATCTTCTTCCGAACAAAGTGAAAAAAGAAGACCCAAAACAAAACACAAAACAGTCAAAGACTTGATATGCCTGGTCAAGGCTGCGATCAATGTATTGTCACGTCTTATGAATCTGGATTCACTAGTTTCTCAGCGCCCGTGGCCGTTTGGGCCAGCAACAAAAACTGTTTGCCTGTGAGTGTCATGAACATCACACACCAAACGCCCTCCAATGCCTCATCCAAGCAAAGTTGTGGCCCGAGGCCTGCTGCCTCACCAAATGGTTGTATTTGGAATATCGTGTTCAATTCAAAACCATTATGTTCTGAATAAAACACTCAATGCAATACAAGAACACTCCCCAACACACATATAGTTACATATACGAATAATATATGTCTATTCTGTCTGTTGTACATACATATTAATATATACACAAGCAGAATTGTAGAATACGCTCTTAAAACAATTATATAAATAATTGAACAGATTTATGAATTATCAAGACGTGTTTTACATGACATGTGTGTACATTTACATATCTATATATATATATGTATATTCATTGCCAACAAAAAAAAATCGAACACACAAATGTTGGCATAGTTTGACACAAATATATAATCGCTATTAACTGCATGTCAGATTCATCACATTTGTGCCATATTTTTGACGCATATGTGTGTTTACACCGGGTGCAAATAGGACGGCACAATTAGGCTACCCCCCAAAATAGGTATTAGATGGCACAGAGAATGTGGAAGAAAGAGTGCATGCATCGAAGAAACCATTAGCTTCTTCCAAGCGCAACTAGCGAGGCCAACCCATAGGAGCTGAGTCGATTGTGCCAACTACCCATGTGTTCCATGTTTGATTGTTCGAAAAAGAAAAAACATGTAGATGGAAGGCCTGTGCCAGTGCATTCCTGCACTTTCAGCAGTGCCATTCTCCTTGTAAAAGCCTATCATCCCAAAGGAATATGCAAGGACAAGGACATCAAAAGGAAACCGTTTCAAGACCAAGTAGTATCAAATCGACGTAAAATATGGTATGCTTGTCTGTTCATTGTCCTTAAAATCCTATCACTGTCTGTTGATTTGTCCTTCAACATGTTTCACACATATCCGTTTCATTGTCCTTTCAAGTCTCTTGTTTACTTTGTCATTCTCCATTCATGCTCCACTATTTATTTTGAGGACATCATCGTAGCGCTGAAACGGCTTGCCGGCAAAAGGCAAACCTCTGAAACTTCTAGACCGGGCAAGGCCTGGGTCCCTGGGTCAAGGAAAAAAACACCCAATGTTTGCGCCACGATGATTGGAATCGATGGCGGAATCCGCGAACACCCCCCAGCGCTTTGGAGTGCCCAAACAGCTGTTTGGATGTCAATAATGATTGCGATTGCGAGGGACTGCTACGCATCCGTGAGTCCTCTAATTAAAGTGTTCATGTACTTCATACCCCTCCTTGCCACTCCTTCAAGCTAACATGGCAACTGTATAAAAGAGAGGAGAGAGTCGGATGTTGTTCTCTGGAGGTGCAAATCAAACTTGCCCAGGGTAACTGTGGTGAAGATCCACATGTTTGAGTACCAAAAACTGACTGGGGAGGTTTCACTGACGGAACATGAAAGGACATGTTAAAGTCTTATGCAAGGATTATTGAAGGGAATGAAAGGAGCATGACAGGGTGTTTAATGAAACATGAACCGGACACGTTATTGACATGAACATTTACGGACTCTGATGGAGGCTTCTTGAAAAAAGAAACACAGCAGAAGGCAGGATTTGGAAAGAATGAATGGCAAGAGTTTCAACAAGAGATGGGATGTTGAAAGGACGATGGCTGGAAAATAAACAGGACTATATAATACTATATATATACAAAAGTGAAGGGATATGGAAAATGATAAGAGAAAAAGAGAGGAACACCAAATCCCATAATGAACCATCTCTGATCTGAATTTGATATGATTCCAAGTTTCACCGTTCTTTGTTCTGAACAACCCGATCTTGTCCTCGTGATGTTCCTTCAAAACTATTATCCAGGAAAATGTCCAGCTGTCGAAAATATACCAGCAAACAATAACGTTCTATCTCTCGCTTTGGAAATACAAAAAAAATGGGTTGCAAAGCTTTGTGCATCTTTGTGCGTTGCCAAAAAAGGCTCCGAGATTTGACTGGCGCAAGCATGGTAACATTAATATGTTGTATTTGCATGGAACCATGATACCCTTCCCACTGGCACATATAATATTCTAATTGTTGAACACAATGTGCTATCTCTTCGCGAAAAGGTAAAGAGAAAAAAATCATCAAAACTCAACATGTTTGAAACTTAATAATTACCAACCTTATTGACTGAACAAAAGCAATATGGATACTTTGAAAGACCGTCGCCACTTCATCTCTTATGCTTTGTGTCGCCAGGAATCGGATGGTCTGCGGTCTCTCCAACCTACTAGCGATGGCCTCCAACCTAATAGCTTTTAGCTACTAAGCTACTAGTAGCTTCTTGTTACTAGTAGTAAGGCACTTGTTACTAGAAGCGATGCACTTGTTACTAATAGCAATGGGCCTCCAACCTAATGAGTTTACGTGTTCTTGCAAGAACTTCCCAATAGCACTGGCCTCCGACCTACTAGCGATGGCGCTTGCTTCATCTGAACGAAGCCCAACACCCACACGCCTGTGGCACAGAGCTGCCAAATGCTGAGGCCTTGTCACATGGTCATTCGCTAAGGTCTTCAAAGCGAACAGGCGGCTAAAGATGATGGGAATCTGCCCCCAAGTCGTTCGAGAAGCTTGGGAGCAAAAACGACCTACCAGTAGTGCCAGCTGCCCAGAATAGCACAGCAGGTATCAGCAGACAGCGAGTTTGCACAGCGAGGTTGCGCATCCTTTTCTGTGCTGCGGGGTGTGCCTGGTTCTTATGTTCCGGCTCAGCCGATCACTCGGATCCATGATGTGTAAGAGGAGCTCTCTTCTTTGTTACTAGTAGCTTCTTGTTACCAGTAGCGATGGCCTCCAACCTAATAGCGTCCTAAATGATGTGGAACAGGAGCTCTCTTTCTTGGTTTTGCAATGAAAATCCAAAACATCCCACATCATCATGGATCCTTCCAGTTGCCGTCAGGCCTGCGGGCTGGGTGTTTGAGGGGAACAGGTAGCAGGGTCTCGGCATCTTGGTTCTTCTGATGCACTAAATCTGCAGTTCTAGTGAGTCCATAAATTCCTTTCAAGTTCTTCAAGACCATCGCTGCCTGCCCTCCGACGAGCGGGTGTTCCTTACGACTACCACGGTCGGAAAATAGAAGGCCATCGAAAGCTCACCCCATGGAGACAGTGGCACATCAAGCAACAAAGCCTCTTCTATGCCAGATGGTCAAAAGCCTCTAGAAAGTGAGACATGAACAACGTTCCGAAGGAGACGAGAAACCAGCAACCTAACTAAGAATGGCAATGCTTGCTGAACCAGATTGAAGCATTCGCCGTTATATCATAGCCATGGGTTAGATGCCAGCAATTGATCAATTGATTAGATTACTAGATGATAATGTGTTATCAGTTTTGTCTGCTGGCTGTGGTGTTGATACTTTCAACATGGTATGCTGTGTCGGGTGCTCGCCTGCACACATATTCATATGTATGTATATGTATATATGAATCAATATATATATATACAGTATGTTATTGTTGTTTTGATACTAGTAGACCTGTGTGCAACTGTCACCATGCCCAGGTTTCGCAAATTTCGCAGGCTACAACACGTCGACAAGGCCTAACCTGTGGCCATCCGAGGTCGTCCTGCCGACCAAAAGGCAGGGCACTTCACGTGCGTTTTTGCACAGCCTACCATTCCGACGACAAGAACGGGCCCAGCTGGGAAAGCACCGGCACCTTCCAAGCGAGAAAAGACAAATTCATGAACAGTTCTTCTTGTGCTCCCTCTTGTCTTTCTAGAAATGTTCCCGAAACATCCCGAAACAATGAAACAAGAGGAAACAAATGCCCGGAAGGAGGGGCACAGAGCGCCCGTTGACCCCGATGCGTCGCAAACGATCCTCGAGGGTCGAGCTCTTCAAACTGCGGGCTTTTGACCGCCCGCGTGATTCGAATCTTTTCTGGAAGTGCAAACAGAGCTGGCTTAGATTGACTCTGGCATTGTCCTCAGCCTAATCGTGCCTTACCTTAAACAGTAAACAACGTTCTTTGCAAAATTCTAGGTGTCCAAAGCTGCTCTGTTCAACACATTCCTTCCAAGGCCAACTTGTCAAACTAGATCACTGATCACTGTTCTTCTCGGCAGACTCCTGCAGAGTGGCCCGAGAAGAATCGAGAAGATCTTGTCTTGCAAGTCTCTCTAAAAGGTTAATGAATGGCGATGCCATTCCCCCTGACCTTGATCTTTGCCAGTGGGTTGATCAATGAACGAACCAACTGGTTCTCTGTCCGATCTAAAGGTCAAACGAAGCTGATTCCACTCCATAGAACATGCCAAAGAATGCTACAGCCATAGGGGAATGCTCAGCCGTATTCTGTATCTTCAAACTCTGTGATCTCCCTCCAATTAATTTCTAACTCGTGGAGATCAAGATGCAACTAATTCGACATGTGTCTCATTGTCTCATATCGAGCATGGCTGCTCTCCAAGCAGCGGCAGCGTGCCCCCCAAGCCAGGTGCAAGGGGGCGCAAAGGCGGGTGCGATATAACTTGGCTCGACACTCTCCGACCTGAGACCTGCCAAAGGAAGATGGAAAGTATCAGGCCACAAAGGGCACACTTCTCAGGATTATCTATAGCGTCCGCTGGCATTTCCGTCACATTGTGTAACAGCTGCAAGGCATGATGGAGGTATTTGACTTCCATCAACTGGACTTGAAGAAGCTTATTTAACGTTGCTTGGGTCGGTTCGCGGAAACAATGACCAGCTGATTTTCAAACTTCACAAGTGGGTGTTCCGCAAGGATACAAATACAGTAACTTGAACAGACACACAGAGATTTAACAAAATCATGCTATGAAGAATAAAGTGAACTGAGGTTAGCTTAACTAAAACGAAACGAGATAAGAGGTAGGGAAGACAGTTAAGCTTGAGTGAGAGAGAGGAAGGTGCGGGCCGATTCAATGTCGAAGAGCAGGGGGAGTTGTATCTCAACGGTGCAAAAACATCCTTGCTGGTGTCTCATCTAGATCATGCAATGATACCCCCCCACCATGCCTGCCCGTCCCAGCATTCCGCATGTTCATCCTCCACAATACCGTTACATTGCTCAGACTTTCACCACCACGCCGACCACCACTGAGATGTCGTCCATCTTGCCGCCCATGTGCCTTGGAAAAGCTGCCCCCCCTTTGCCCTGACAAAAAGAAGAAAAAGAAGACCCTATCTGCAAACTAGAAAGAGAATCCAAAAAAGATCCGTCCAAACTCACCATGGGAGACTTTTGCCTTCGTGCCAGGGCGCTGCAAACCGGCTTGACGTGCAAGATTGCCAAACGGAGTGCGAGCAGACGTGTCCTGCATATCGATTTTCACTTGCCAAGCTTCCAAACTAGTAGCGATGGCCTCCCACCTAATACCGATGGCCTCCAGCCAACTAGCAATGGACTTCAACCTAATCGCGATGGCCTCTCACCTGATAGCTATGGCCTCCAACCTAATCGCGATGGCCTCCCACCAAATAGTAATGGCCTAATAGCGATGGCCTTCAGCTTAATAGGGATGGCCTCCCACCTAATAGCGATGGCCTCCAGCCTAATAGCGATGGCCTCCAGCCTAATAGAGCTGGCCTCCAGCCAAATAGCGATGGCCTCCAGCCCAATAGCAACAGCTAGTTGCCATGGCCTCCAGCCTAATAGCGATGGCCTCCAGCCTAATAGCGATGGCCTCCAGCCCAATAGCGATGGCCTCCAGCCTAATAGCAATGGCCTCCAGCCTCATAGCCATGGCCTCCAGCCTCGTAGCGATGGCCTCCAGCCAAATAGCGATGGCCTCCAGCCCAATAGCAACAGCTAGTTGCCATGGCCTCCAGCCTAATAGCGATGGCCTCCAGCCTAATAGCGATGGCCTCCAGCAACATAGCGATGGCCTCCAACCTAATAGCGATGGCCTCCCACCTAGTAGCCATGGCCTCCGGCCTAGTAGCCATGGCCTCCGGCCTAGTAGCCATGGCCTCCAGCCTAGTAGCCATGGCCTCCAGCCTAGTAGCCATGGTATTTTACCTACTAGCGATGAGTCTAATAACGATGGCCTCCAGCCTAATAGCGATGGCCTCCCATCTGACCAGAACGGCTCCTCGGAGCGTACCCGAGCGGCTTCAGCGTATGCCTTTGCCAACCTGCCAGGTGAAAATGATGCCATGACAGAATCCAGATTGCTACTAGGAACAAGAAGCTACTAGGGGCTCCTGGCATCGCTACTAGGAGCAAGGACGCTAATAGGGGCTCCTGGCCGTACTACTAGTAACAAGAAGCTACTAGTAAGGGAGAAGGGCATCTGTCTGAAGGGAGAAGCGAAGCTCACTGCGAGTGCTCCATGCACCCCGATCCTGGCCTGGAGGGATCGATGTGCCACGGACCCGCTTTCTCTTGGCTTCCAACAGTGGCCTGGCATGGTGGCATGAAGTGACATGAAGTGACATGAAGCTATTAGTAACAAAGGGCATCGCTACTAGGAGCAAGAATCTACTAGCAGCTCCTGGCATTACTACTAGTAACAAGAAGCTACTAGAAGCAAGGACGCTATTAGGTGGAGGCCATCGCAAGTAGGTTGGAGGCCATCGTTACTAGTAACAAGAAGCTACTAGTAGCATGGGTCCGCCCTTTGAGGCATACAATGGAATTCTAGGTGGATAGGCATGGTTATATAATAGGAACTTACTTTGCTTACTTGATGCCTTGTCGTCTCGAAGTGAGGAAACATGCTTTGGGTAGTCTCAAGCTGAGGCATGCACAAGGAGCCTTTTACTGTAAGTCTTAGGACCTGTCACATTGTGATTCCCGTCCCAAGCCATCCGATTCACCTCCAAAGAGATTTGGGCAAGCTCGCACACCTGCATCGATGTGGGAAGCGTCCAACATGCACTGCGGACGGTAAATTGTTGGCGATCTTCTGAGCCCAAAAAAAGAAAAAGGTAGTATATAGGTGACTATTATCCCGTAAACATCATACTCCCCCTATTCACCAATACCCATTTGGTACAAGAGTAGTAAACGTTGTGACGTCATTTGTTTCACTGAAAGAACTTAATGTTGCTCAGATTCACCTCAACAAATCGTTTTCACAGTTTGTCTGAATCCTAACATGAAAATTTGTCAGGCTTTGTACATTGTGTCATGTCGGGCCAATCAATGTAAGTGAGCTTGCACACTAATATCGTACTTTGAATGAATATACGCCGACATATACAGTAATATGTTGATGTTGATTGAAAATGCATTATTAATCATATGATGTTATATAAAATCATCTCATGATAGATCAATACATAGCTATGATTGTTCAGCAAGGCCAACATACGCCCCAAGGCCCAGACGCGCTGACTTGCCGCGTTCCCAGACCATTCTCACACCGTCTCACCCCAAATGGTGGGTTCCACGCTTTGCCTCCGAGTCGTGAAGATTGTCAAAAATCCCGTCAGTGCCCATGAGCACCACATCGCCCTCCTGCACCTGCCGGGTCAACGGGTGACTCACACCCTGTGAGGTGTTGGACGC